AAATGAAATTAATAATAATAATAACAACAATAAATCAAACCACACTTTTTAGAAGTGATGTCAAACACACACACAGGTAAAACATCCACAGCTTGAAACCTGATGTTACCTGAGGGAAATCATCAAGAATTAAAACCAAATCTTTCACACTGATGTCCAGGGGTTTCTCACCCCTTTGATGGAGTCACCAGCCGTGTTTAATTTATCTAATTAATTAATGTTTCTCACTGTTCATTTGTTGTGTGACTAATTGTGTCACTCTGACCCTCACCCCCCCTCCACAGACACACTTTCCTCACAGACACCCAAGCCCCACCAGCAGAGCTGCTGCTCCCCAGGCTTGGTGACCAGTTGTCCCCGTGGTGAGTTGGCAGGTGTAGAAGTGTCCAGTGGCCAAATGGTGGCCTTCATTTGGCCAGTTGTCCCTTTCCCACACTGGGATGAGCTGGAGAAGCTGCCACCCAGGTGTATCCTGAGGCAAAAAGAGCTGGGAATGGAGATTGCTGCATTCCCACCTAGTTGGGGATGGGCATCCCAAGCTCTTTCCTGTGCCTGGTAGAGGTTGGACAGGACAACCTGGTGGCCCCACGGCTGCTCACGTTCCCTGTGTGGAGGCACAAGGGGTTGGGTTGTCTCTCCCCAAGGTGGGACACAGGGATGCAGAACCTGGTGGGTCCTACCCATCCGTTGGGCGACGTCCTCCATGAGCTGGGCCACCTGGAGCTGCCCGTGGGTGGTGAGGGTCTCCTCCAGCACTGGTGGCTGCAGGTTGTGGGGCACAGGGGGCCCTGATCCTTCCAGCTGCTCCTGCAGCTCCTCCTGGGATGAATATCAGGATGGTGGTGATGGAGAGGAAGGCCCCACAAGTCCCACCACAAACCACCACCAGGTTCCAGATGGGGTCTTCCCCATGGACACCCCCCCCCCGCCACCCACCCTCACCACCCGCTCAAGGCCCCACAAGTCCCACCACAAACCACCACCAGGTTCCAGATGGGGTCTTCCCCATGGACCCCCCCCCCCCCCTCAGCATCTCCCAGTGTTTAACCACCCAGGAAGAGGAAGACCTGGAAAAACCCTTCAGAAGGAAGCAAGGATGGGATGTGGGAAGGAGGTTTAAGAGTGGAAAACCCCTCGTCTGCTGGGAGGGAAATGGACTAAACAGGGCTGGTTTTACCCCAAAAGGAGGACAGAGGGGGCCAGGTGGGATGGAGGGTGGAATTGTGTTGGGTGGCAGTAGGATTTGGGGTGGAAATTGAGGTGCAGGGGTACATCTGGTGACCTTTGGTGGACAGGTCCCCCCTTGGCTTGGCCACCACCTCCTTGCTGAGGTCAGCACAGGAGTCACATTATGATGTGACGTCAGCAGTGACATCAGCAGTGACGTCAGCACCCCCATGGGTGCTCCCAGCACAGCCCAGGTGGGACTTTGGGTGGGAAATGAAGAGGAAAGGTGTGAGCCCACCTCAACACTTGGGTCTTCACCACCTCCAAAACCACCCCATGTGGATGTGGGGCACCCCACACCTGGCAAAAGAGGTTCCCAAGGTTTAGGGTGGGGGGGTCCCTGGACCCCCCATTTCCCACCCTGGGGCAGCCTGATGGGCCACACCTGATGGTGACAGGAGTCCAGGGGTGACAGCTCCTGGGATGTGGCTTCAGCCTGGAACTGGCCACCACCCGTGGTCATCTGCAAGGGGATCCCCACCTTTTGGGGGGTCTTCAGCTCCAGGGGGGTCTCCAGCTTCACCTGGGGGGTGCCAAGGCAGAGCCACCCCAAAAACCTGGTAGCAGCACAGAGGAGCAACACAGCACAGCAGATTCGGGGCACCATGACGGGGGGGTCCTGTGGGGAGAAATAGGGGGAGAAACATCCTGAGGACCCCCCCCCAAATCAAAGGGGAGGGTTGGGAGACACCCTCCCCTCCATCAAGGGGACCCCCACTAATACACCCAGGGTCAGCATGATGGGGGGATCCTGTGGGAAGAAAGAGTGGGGAGCCCCTCGAGGCACCCCCAAGTCCAAGGAGAAGGTTGAGGGACCCCCTTATTGAGGACCCCCCCCCTCCCCAACAACCCACCCAGGGGCAGCATTATGGTGGGGCACTTTTGGGAAAGGGGGGGTAGGGATCCCCATGGAGTGCCCCCAAATCCAAGGAGAGGGTTGAGGGACCTCCCCCCCCCCTCCCCATTGAGAGGATCCCCCACGAATACACCCAGGGGGAGGATTGTCGGGGGGGAATTATGGGGG